GTTATTGAGGTCAAACTGAGGTCATGTTCGAGCAAAAATGGGCAAAAAACATGCAATCTTGAAACGCTCACCAAATCTACAGTTATCAAGCAATTTCAAAGTTCTTTATATGGTCTAGTAGACAAAAAGCGGCGCTACAAAACTGCTATCTCGGATTTTCAAAATTTTTGGTTTTTGACCAAAAAAAATTCAAAAAATTGATTTTTTTTAGAAAAACTTTGAAAAAATCCGAAAATTTTTAGAATTTCGAAAAAACCGGAATATATGTGGTAGTCCCAGCGCTCTTCTATATACATACCAAATTTCAGATCGATATCTCGTTTTTTGGCCAAGTTATAGCGAAAAAACTGTTCAAAAATGATGACGTCAAATTTTTGAATTCAATTTTTAGCAATTCTAGACCACGTACGGCAAAACAAAGACCACCATTGAACTCCCCGTGACGAGCTGCATCGATTCAATACCCATTTTATGCAAAAATATTAACTTTGAAATTTGACCTAATTTGACCTGACCTTGACCTGACCTTGACCTGACCTTGACCAAAACGTGATCTAAGCTGGCCCCAAAGGCTGCCTGACCCATATAATCGCATTTGTCATGTAAAATGGACCATAAAACATGTATCACACGACACTTTCATATTGTGACCCCCCCGTGACCTGACCTCTGTGACCTGACCTGGTATCAGTGACCTCAAATAGCAAAATATGTGTTTGAAGAACATTTCCCCATCGATGATTTTCAATGAAATGCATTTTACTCGATTTTACAACGCATTTCTTGAAGTGCCTGTAAACGGTGAAAATTGGACCTTTGACGTGACCTGTGACGTCATCGGTTTGACCTAGGTCAATAAAATTGGGTCACAAGGTAGTTCCCCGTTGGGGCTATCCAACGCCGTTTACCGCTTGTCGCTATGTTGCGTGGTTCTCGAGATCTTAGGGGGGGGGGCCAAAATGGCCCCCCCCCCCAACCGGGCGCGTTGCTCGGCAGAGCCCAACGGGGCGCGGGTTAAAGAAAATATCAAGTTGCTAGGATAGTAAGTAAAGTAGGAACCTATACCTATCTTAGAACATTTTAATCAAATTGCCGTCGAAAAATATGTCAAATTGATGGTAGGTCATATTGTCAAATTGGAAAAGGTATACACCCGGTATTTGAAACCGTTCATCAGTTATCTTAGAAAAACGAATGGGTCTAATCGGATGTGACCCTCCTCGGCACACATCTCTGTATCTCCACCCCTCCCACCGCCACTACCCCAGGTACACACGGGGCGGCGCCGGTCGTCACCGGTCGTGTACCCTGTACCGTCCCTTCTCCCCCCCCCCCTCCCCAGCCACGACCCCAGGTACACACGGGGCGGGGCCGTTCGTCACTGTCCGCGGCCGCCCGGGCCGTTTACAGTTCCACCACGGCTAGTCTAAACAGCGCCTGGGCGGGCGGCGGGGGTCGGCCGGGGGCGCCCGGTCCCACGCCGGTACGGTTACACGGCGGGGCACGCCACCTCGCCTGCATTCATAGCTTCCTGCTGAGTCACAGCCACCGGGACATATACCTACGTCCTACATATACACTAGTGATGTCAATTACGGAAAACCAGAATACCGATACCAAACCAAATACCAACCAAAACCGTGGGGAAATACCGAAACCAAACCAACTTGGGAACATGAGGAAAATACCAACTTTTTACCGATTTCTTAGCCTCTTTAAACATTAGCGAGGGTTCATGATACCAACAAAATACCAAACTCATTAGGATTGAAATACCAAATACCGAGTTGGTATCGGTTTGGTATCGGTATACCAAAAAGTTGGTATCCGATTGACATCTCTAATACACACATACCGCCCTCCTGTGCTGAGCTGATGCACGGCTCCGTGCAGTCATTGCCACCGGGTCAATGCCTACATACACGGCCTGTGTTGAGTCAGGACCACCTAACTACACACACGGCCTGTGCCGAGTCAAGGCTAACCGGGCCGGCGAAAGTTTGCAGGCTTATGAAGGCCTGAATTCGTTCAGTGTCAGTTGCTATCACGTTGTTTGATGCGGCTTGTTGCGGCACTAGTACTGTGTTGAAATTACGTGCTCCCGACTATCAGAAACGTGGACCGGATCCCGTCTGTGAGCGGGTGCTGTTTATCGTAGCATAGCTGCAGAGTGCCATGCCATAATCGAGGCCGCTGAAAGCCCAAACACTGCAGAGAATAGCGGGAAATCTCGCGGCTAAGTTTGTCCGAAGCTCAGAAATAGCTCAGTTACTGGCAGTTTTCGGAGTTCTCCCGCTGAGAGCTTTACGACTCCCGGGGCGAGCCCTGACCCGCCCCTGGCACCGACCTCCACCGTCCGGCGTCACTCTTGGGCCGACCCGAGGTCCACCGAGACCCTGTGACCTGACCAGTCTGTTACTCGGAACCCGTATTAGTCAGACGGAGAATCCACCGGAATCTGCCGAGCACCTGTGACCTGACCAGTCGGTTACTCGGAGTACCTGTGAGTACTGAGTTGTGACCTGCCCAGTCGGTTGCTCGGAGCACCTGTGACCTGCCGAGTCTGTTACTCGGAGCACCTGTGACCTGACGAGTCGGTTACTCGGGCACCTGTGACCTGACGAGTCTGTAACTCGGGCACCTGTGACTTGACGGGTCGGTTACTCGGAGGCCCTGTGACCTGACGAGTCTGTAACTCGGCCCGGCCCGGCTCGGACGGCGGTCGCTGTGGCAACGTGGCCAGGTTTGGGCCGCCGCCGGCCTGCGTCAGCGCACTCCGCCACCCATACACAAACGGGGGCGGCGCGGCGGGCGGAGCTGTTTGTTGAACTGGTCCTCTCGGCGGGGAGGTTCCGGCGGCGCCGCGCCGACCGACGGCCGACGCCGCCGCGGCTCCGGTTCGGCCGACAGCCAGACGCACCGCGGAGCGAGCGGAACGCGGAGAGTAGCTCAGACCAAGCCCCGAGCGACAGGTTCAGTCTTCAGACGTTACCTCATCTGCCGACTGGCTGGGTCAGCATCATCGCCCCCAGTTCCAAGGTCACCCTTACGGTCTTCACGTATGACCAGCACATTGGCTGAGTCGAATGATGTCAAACTGTCTTGTTTGTCCGTTGCTGGGATTTTTCGTGGCTCTACTTCCCTCATTGTGGCTATTTCTTCTTCTTCTAAGTACCTATTGACATTCCCAGCTACAGTAACCATCCACCCACAACCATCGACTCCAAATCAACAGGCGGCGCCATCTCGCAACGTTCCCTGACGCCCCACACCACGCTCTCTGAACAGCAGCAGTGTGAGCGCTGCTCACTGCTCAGTCCCAGTCCCCCGCGTACTGGGTCACCCGTGCCCCTGAGCGCAGACCGCTGCACCTGCGTCTGTCCCGTGTCCAGTGACCTACGTCTGACCCGTTCCGCTGTGACCCGCGTCTGACGCGTGCTCACTGCCCCGTCCATTAGGGAGCTGTGTGATCTGCCACTGACCCCAGACCACTGTGATCCACCTCTGACCTCTGCGCCCCCGCCTTGTTACCTGCCTCCGATCCCTTCCCATGCCCGCAGAGCTGGTGACCAAGGAGGGCGGCGACCTGACCTCTGACCGTCCCCCCGTGACCCGCCAATGACCCCTCCGTCCGCTGCCCGCAGAGTGTGGTGACCTGTCACTGACCCCGTCCCCCTGTCCACAGAGCGTGGTGACCCGCCTCTGACAGGTCCCCCGCCCGCAGAGCGTGGTGACCTGTCACTGACCCGCCTGTCCCCCGCCCGCAGAGCGTGGTGACCCGCCTCTGACCCCTCCGTCCGCTGCCCGCAGAGCGTGGTGACCAAGGAGGGCGACGTGCTGACCGAGACCCAGGTGGGCGACGGCAAGACCTCCACCCTGGTGCGCAAGTTCACCGACAGCGCCATGGAGATGGTGGGTGCACCCCCTCCCGTCCCGTCCCGTCCCCCGGCTCGCCCAGCCCTATACCCGTCCGCCCAGTCTCCGGCCGTCCTCCCTCCGTCGCGCGGCTCAGGCAGTTGGCTCAATTGGATGATGGCCGTATTACGGCGCCCCGCTGCCCAGAGCAGTCGGTGCACAAAGGGAGACGGCTGCAGCGCACAGTACCCAGTGGGCAGAGGGGACACTGAGAGAGCGCTGCAGACGGAATTGATATGACCCGGACCGCGCCCCAGAGGGGCCGGCCGGGGAGACTGGCGCGTAAATAGACAGCCCGGTCTGTTTACTGCCCACGGCCGCCGGCAGATGTGGTGTGCGTTTTTGCGCTGTCCAGTTTTTGCTAGTGCCCGTTTATCAATCTGTTCCATTTGCGCCGTAAACTACTGTTGGATCTGGGTTGCGCGGCGACAGACGATGTCTGGGCAGCCCCCGGGCCCTCCTCCCCGACTGACCCCTCCCCCCCCCCCCCTGTGTCCTCGGCAGACGGTCAGCTGCGGCGACGTCGTCTGTAAGCGGGTCTACACGCGGCAGTAGGAGGGGAGCAGCGAGACGCCCGGACCACCGGGGCGCAGGGCTATGAGCGGCCCGACCGCGACGGCCGCCGGCCCTGGACACATCACTACCGACAATACACGACTCACGGGACGAGCTCAGCGTTTGTGGACGGAGCGGGTTATTATAGGAGCGGTGGTTCGGGGGAGAAAGGGTTCCCAAGCGGTGTCCACAGTCCTACCGGCATGTCGACAGGATGACGACACACCGAAGCGTATAAATGTAGGGGTCTGGTAACGTATGTAAGCTCTGTAGAATGAACGGAGGGATCAGTGTCCTAGAGGTGGGGACGGCAGGGCTGTGCAACGCTGTGGTAGGCCGTTTGCCAGCCTGTTACCAAGGACTGCATCAGTGTCATCTAATAATGCGCCGTACCTTAATTTTGACTCACACTGGAAAAAGACACTATCAGGCCTCACCAGGTGGCCTCATCTCACTGTTTTACGAAGCTGTGTCTACCACAGAGTAACATCTATGATCGTTCTACTCGCGTTATCACTAATACTCCTCACTTCAGGACGCACACATTTATATTTGAACCGCAGAACGGTACATTAGGTACAGGACAATGGCATGAGACCGAGTCATAGAATAGCTGCTCTGAAATATTGCACTGGTATACAAACCGTCCCCGTCAGACGCTACGATTGTACATCACCATCGGTATCGTATTGCCGCAGATCGAGAACAACGCGCGATGGACGCACCAATTTCCCCGGCGAGACACCCGGACTCCATCAGCTAACAATAAACAGCTCCATAAAATGGCTATCGGCCGCCGCGTGTGACGACCCTATTCTGGTAGGCACTGGTAGTGGCGTGTTGGTCCACCGGTTTAATACTGCCCGCCCGCTCTACGAGTGGCTCCGTCCCGGGGGATCCCGGGTCAGTCGGATCTATCGGTGGCTATCCGCTAACTAGCTGGCTCTCCGTCTGAGAGGTCTGGCCCGACGGCCACAAGGCACTGGTATCTCTCCCTGCTTCATAAGGACGGTATCACAACGGCCGGGCGGCATCCAGGCCGGGCAGACCGCCGGCCCAGTGCGGCCAACGGCGCCCGTCGCCGCCTCCGCCCGCCTCCTGAACGTAACGGGACCGGCCGGACTGACCAGACCGGGCAGGACTGACCAGACCAGCAGGACTGACCTGACCAGCAGGACTGACCTGACCGGGCCGGACTGACCAGACCGGGCCGGACTGACCTGACCGGGCCGGACTGACCTGACCAGCAGGACTGACCAGACCGGGCCGGACTAACCTGACCAGCAGGACTGACCGGACCGGGCCGGACTGACCTGAGCCGGCCGACTGACCAGTCACGGCGCCGGCGCGGTCCCCGCCGGCGCCGGCTATAGGGCGGCCATGAAGTTCTTCTTGCCGCCGCCGCCGCCGACCGGAGCCAGACGCGCCGGCTTTCGCGCGTCCGGCTGAAAGCCTGGGGAGGTTCAGGGGCGTCAGGGGAGGCTGAAAGCCTGGGGAGGTTCAGGAGCGTCAGGGGAATATTCAGTCGTCCGGCTAAAAGCCTGAGGAGGTTCAGGGGCGTCAGGGGGGACTGAAAGCCTGGGGAGGTTCAGGGGCGTCAGGGGGACTGAAAGCCTGGGGAGGTTCAGGGGCATCAGCGAATGGCTGCCGAGGCCGGGGGGGGGGCGAACAACGTAAAAATGCAGTGTTTACCGCTACGCGGATAGTCGGGATGCCAGCTAGGCGCAACAACATCATGGACAATATCGGCATCGCATAGCTTAGACTCGTTCAATAGATGACAACTGAGATGACTGCCAGTAAAACGTTGAAAGACTATAATGACAGATATAGATATTAGATACTTGAAGATCGTTCGAATGGTCATGAACACAAATTATGAGCTGTATGCACAGCTATGCAATATGCATGGTTCCAATACATGCAATACGTAAGTGACAAGCAGCAACGCATAGTTGCAACATGCAATAAAGCGCAAAAAGTCGACATACCTCTCCCCATAGGTGCAAAGCTGTGGTTGGATCCTGCGAAGGAAATGAGAGGGAGAACATAATGTAAGGAAAAGGTTGGCGGTGTCGTTATTTTTTTTTACGTCGACACAGTCTTAGAACGTAACTTTTGATAAATGACGTACATTTTGATACGTCTTTATCAATAAAATCCGTAGATCGGAAAATAGCCCCTTATACACAACATAGGACGGTGGGGCCGGTCAGCTCCGACCCTCCGGGGCACCTCTCGCCGTTATTTATAGGGACTGGACTGGGTGCTCCTTACCTGTGGGACTGGGCGGGGCGCTCTTGGTCCAGTAGGCGGCAGGGTCCATGTAGCCTGGACAGACAGGAGGACAGGACAGCACAGGTGAGGAACAGAGAGGCACAGGTGAGACAAAGGGAGGAACGAATAACACATGGGCGAGGCGTGGGAAGTCAGCGAGTGAAACACGCACCAGAAACCGTGCGGGTGTACTGCTCGGGCGTGCTACTACACCATCCGGCTCTGTAGGAGAGCCGGATGGTGTTGATACTCAGGGACTCAGGTGGCACTCACGAGCTCGTGCGATTGTGGACGCGTGTGTGCCGCGAGTGTCAGACTTCAGGGCACTCCACTGCACACCGGAGTGGTAGTGTGTGCGGGGGCGCCGACAGACCGCGGCTGGTGGGTCTCTCACGGACGTCCGTCCAGGCCACACGGCTGAGAGAGCCACTGGCTGCCGGGACCGTGCTGACTGCTGGCGGACCATCTCAGTCCGGCGCTGAACCCGCCCTGTACGGCAGTCCGTGTGACCGTGCAGGGGTAGTGAGGTGCTGTGCCGCTGGACCCCTCCCCTCCCCTGTACCGAGGGTGGCCACGCTGGCCCACGAGCTCGGCCGGTGGCGGCGGGCGCGCCGGCCCTGTGCGGCAGTGTGTGACAGTGCAGGGGCAGTGCTGTGCCGCTGGACCCCTCCCCCGCCTGTACCGAGGGTGGTCACGCTGGCCCACGAGCTGGGTCCCTGGCCGGTGGCGGCGGGCGCGCCGGCCCTGTGCGGCAGTGTGTGACAGTGCAGGGGCAGTGCTGTGCCGCTGGACCCCCTGCCCCTGTATGTACCGAGGGTGGTCACGCTGGCCCACGAGCTGGGTCCCTGGCCGGGGGCGGCGGGCGCGCCAGCCGCGCCGCCCAGGGAGTGCAGTCCGTGGAAACTGCGGCTCAGCCCGTGACCGTAGGCCAGGCTCTGAGACAGGCCCGGGCCGGGCCGAGCTGTAACCGCGCCAGTGCGTACGTCAGGGGCCGTCAGAGGGTCCACGCGCACCGACCGACGCTGGTCGCGCCAGGGGAGACCAACAGACTGGGCGGCACCAGAGGCTCCAATATCGGAATATCCAGGCAGAGGTCAGCGCCACGACTGAATGACAGAGCTAAATGCTGCTATCGTACACAATCCGATCTGCCGTAGCTGGTATGCCATGATCAGTCACAAACTGTGACGCGAAATTGATTGTGAAGTCCTTCTACTGTACATGACGTGAGTGGCTGCGAATTGATATTTTGTGACCTCCAGTGGAACAACTATATGCCTATACAAAAATGGCAACAATACATACACGATAAATGAAAGCTACGCGTCATTAGGACATAACACAACACACAACCCGCACATCAATGAGAACTGCAATGAATGTCTCAGCCAACAACGACACATCATGCAAAACGCTATGAGAGTTCGATGTCTGGCACTAGGCTACGCTACCAAACCTTAGCACCTATTTACAAGTATGTATTTACATCGTGCAATCGGTCCATGAACACATGGCTATTATGATTGACATGTCATAAAAACGGAACATCGGGATTCAGTTGCACAACTAACACACACATTGACGCACACACACTCAGCTCGCACATTTGTACCACGGGCTCAGTCACTGTCACTGTCACTGAACAGCCTGAAGCGTCTATGAAAAACACCTGCGATGCCCAGTCATACTAGTGCCAGACGCTGCTTTACTAGACAAAAGCAAGGTGGAGCAGGCAGGGTTAACGGTCAGGCGTAGAATGTCAAAATTGTCTTAAGGCCTGGCTACACTATGCGTTTTCTGCGTGCGTTTTTTGCGTGTTTGCGTGTTTTGCGTGATATCGTGCTAGAAAAAATCGATATTACGTTTTTTTAATGTTATTTTTCATATTCAATTTTAGCTTATATAAGAATTGCATTACCTTTTATACATAACTTATGTAAAAGTTTTATTAAATAGGTATAGCTTTCTTCTAAAACGATATTACGCAAATCACGCAAACACGCAGAAAACGCATAGTGTAGCCAGGCCTTTAGTCATACCAAACCTAGCAACTGGCTCGTCAGCTTTCTAAGTCTCTGATGTAGCTGAAACGCGCCGAAATGAGGTTCCTCATTTGAATTTCTGGTCTCAAAAATGGTTATTAAAAATTGTGAGCCGCTTATCTCACCAAGCCCATGTCAGCCCTCCCCTGGACGGGACCCGACCCGCGATGTCCCATCTCCGACCGTCCCCTAGTCTGACGGCCCGTCGGTCCGCCCTGACTCACCCTGTCCCTGTGGCCGCCTGTCATCTCGGTCCCCTGTGACGGCCGGCCGGTCCGCCCGACTCACCCTGTCCCTGTGGCCGCCTGTCATCTCGGTCTCGGCCCGTCGGTCCGCCCTGACTCACCCCGTCTCTGTTTAGCCGCCTGTCATCTCGGTCCCCTGTGACGGCCCGTCGGTCCGCCCTGACTCACCCTGTGGCCGCCTGTCATCTCGGTCCCCTGTGACGGCCCGCCGGTCCGCCCTGACTCACCCTGTCCCTGTGGCCGCCTGTCATCTCGGTCCCCTCAGAAGGCCCGACGGCCCGCCCTGACTCACCCTGTCCCTGTGGCCGCCTGTCATCTCGGTACCCTGTGACGGCCCGCCGGTCCGCCCTGACTCACCCTGTCCCTGTTTGGCAGCCTGCTCGGCCGCCAGCTGCGTCTTGAACAGGATCTCCGCCTGGCGCGTGTTGGTCGGGTGTTTGAAGTAGGAGCCGGCGATATTCTCCTCGGCGCCGCGCTCCAGACGCTGTCGGCCGGCGCGCAGCGGTCATAGGTCAAGGGGGTCACGGGGGTCAGTCAGGGTCAGGGACGGTGCTAAATACAGGTAATACGGCATATGGGAAAACGAGGATAACTGACGCTCAGATGGAAACGTTACCACTGGCTAGTGCGAAAACGATAAATAAGCACGTTACTGCGCTACTGACTCCAACATCAGCTTCTGTCGCAGGCTGTCACTTGTCAGGTTTTACCAAAAACGTCTTAAAGGTACACCCTGTGATTGTTAAAGATCTTGCAGGAGAATATAAGCGAGTCTGATAATTGAAACAGCAACACAATACTCCTAAACACGCAGTGACTGACAATTGTTCCCCTGTCCCACACCCGCAGCCCGAGGCCCACGGTCCCAGCCGGTGCTAGGTGGCACCACATCCCGGCCCGGGCGGGCGGGCGGCGGCGGCGGCCCCTGGCGACCAGACCAGCCCACCAGAGGACTGGATGCGTACATTGGAGATGCGCGTCTCCTCCTGGGCCCAGTCCGTGCCGCCGGGACCCTTGTACTTGGTGCTGGTGGTCGGCGCGCCGAAACCCAGCACTGCAACAGCAGAGCGAATGTGCGAGGTGCAGCTGTGAGACAGGTGGCCAGAAAACGTGCCGCAAACACGCACACAACACATCGGCAGCCGGGAACACATGGGGTAACCAGAAACAAAACCAACGAAATATGGCAGGCAGTAGCAGGTCCACACCAAACAACACGTCAGGCAGCGATCCGATTGCCGGTCAACACAAATGTGCAGTTTTCACTGAAATGCACACTGGTAAACACTGACACTCCCATGCAAACAATTTAATCAGTTAAAATCATGAGCGTAGCAGACCCACACAAAACCATACCAAACAGAGCTGCTGATGCAGAGCTGCACAATGCAAACACCCACACCAGCTGACGGCTGTGCAGAGCAGGCAGATCAGCTCTCCATGCGCGGTGCCTGTGAACCGGGCCCACCCCACCCCACGGTCCCGTGCAGCCCACGCGGCACTGCGGCAGGCGGCCGGGGCGGCGGCACCTTGAGGAACTTGTCCTCGCCGGCCGGCTCGCCCCAGGCGTCGGTGAGCCGGGCGGGGGCCGTGAGCGCCGGAGGACGCGTCCCCTCCTCCCCGTCCTCCTCCTGCGCCTGCTCCTGCTGCTCCTGCTGCTCCTCCTGTCGGCGGGACACGGCCACGGCGCCGCCCACGGCCACTGCGCGGCGTCCACAGCGGGGTGTGACACAGGGCGTAATACACGGCACCCACGGCACATACGGCAGTCCGCACAGGGCGTAACACACAGCACACACGGCGACAGACACCGGGCCGTGATACACAGTACATACGGCGGTTCACACAGACGTGATACACAACACATACGGCGGTCCGCAAAGGGCGTGATACAGGACGTGATACACAGCACATACGGCGGTTCACACAGACGTGATACACAATGCGGTACGCATAGCAGGGGACCAGACACGTACGGTGGAGACCGCACTCGCTGTACCACACGGTTGATCTGCTATTCCAACACATCGTCACAATTCACATAATTGTCGACTTACCTAGTGAATAGGTTTGACGCGACGCATAGAACTGAGATGTAGCATTGTAAACGTTCCCCTCCTTTCAGGTATGAGGCCGGTTCTCCAACATGTATGCACCAACACCCACATCCAGCCCGGACCACCAGTAATCTGAGCCCTCTGGACCCGCCCCGTCTCCCCTCCCTCAGCTGACCGGGCTGTGTACGAACTGTGTGACTGGTTACGTACCGGGCGGCGGCAGCTTGGTCTTCTGCAGCTGCAGCTCGGGCAGCCGCCACTTCTGCTCCACCTCGTCCCAGATGGCCTGCTTCTTGATGGCCTCCAGGTCGGAGTAGTTGCAGTCCTTGCGGATGGTGGGCTGCACGCGCGCCAGCAGCTGCTCCAGCAGGCGCATGCCCTGCTCCTGGCGCCGGATCGTCTCCAGGTAGTCGTCTCGCTCCACAGCGAACTCGCGCTGGATGTCGCGGATCTCCTGCTCCTGGGCCTTCAGCTGACGGACCGGGAGCAGCGTCAGACACCGAGTACTGAGGCGCGGGAGGGCTGACACACGGCGGACGCCATCCACCGCCGCAGTGAGCTGACGACTCTTTACTGAAAATACGAGACTAATCCCAAACCCAGCAGAGCAGCTATAGAGCCCATGACACCGTTACTCCCTAAGAGCGCCACATATCTAAGGACTAAGATGTCATACTATGCGCACATTATCAAAATTACATAATAATCATACCCCAGCAATGCCTCCGATCATTGAAAAGAATCCCTCCCTTCCACCACGTCCCCGGCTGCAGTTTGGGGCGCTGACGGCCTGTTACGAACACCGCTCGGATACTGCGCCGCAGTGCCGTCGTGCCCGGCGGTACAGCCTAACTCCCTCCCACACCAGCGCGCCGCCCGGCCCTCCGCCCAGCCCGCAGCGCGCACTCACCCGGCTCTTCATCTTCTTGGCGAGGTCTGTGCGCGCGCGCAGCGTCGACTGCACGTCGTCGTACGCCTTGACGAGTATCTCGTCATCGTCCTCGTCCTCGGCGGCGCTGCGTCCGAGCGCGGCGGCGATCTCCTTCCTGCGCCGCTGCACCTCCTCGTTCTGTTTGCGGCGCTTCATGACCGCCTGCTGGTCGTTGGCCGACTCTCCGCCCACGATCTGCTGCTGCAGCACGCGCAGTCTGCAGCGGACGCGGGGGTGCGGGAATACAGGGTGTGAGTGCTGGGTAAGGTGTGTTACGCTACTCCTTGCCGGTGTTAAACGTAGTCCAATGTCAAACGATTAGTTTGTTGTTATGGCACAGAAGCACTGAGCTCAGATAATCCTGCTGTAACGACGGGCCGGTAACGACACAGAGGAACACATCAAACAGCCAGCATAGTTAACCCGCGCCGGGCCGGGGGGGGGGTGTTTGAACACCCCCCTTGCGGTTTTTCGCAGATATCTCAAAAACGGCGGCGCGGAGCGCCGCCGTTTTTGGCACACCTGTTTTTGCATTTTTTCCGCACATGTTGTGAAAATTTCAGACCCAGGTCACCTTAGGTCAGGTCACCAGGTCACGCCAAGTGACCTCACCTCAGAAAAAATAAGAATGCTCGTCATAGCTACACCGACTGAGCGATTGCCTTGAAACTTTCAGCGATTGATTAGAGCAACAATATCTATAAAATGTATATCTCGGAATTTTGATATCGGTGACCTAAGGTCAGGTCAATTTTGCGGCCTCTCCATTATAAGTCAATGGGAGAAAATTGAACAGCGCCTGTTTTGCACGAACGCTATTCTAGACACTCTCAAACATCGAGATGTAGGTAAAATAGACACACTGAACCAGAAAATGGGAACTGTGACCCCTCGTTATGTCCCCGAGGTCATCTCAGGTCACGAACAGAATCTAACAGTTTTTCGATGATAACTTCTGATAGAGGCGTGCTAGAGCGCTGAAAACGCCTTAGATGTGTTCGGCTCGACGTTGCGGATCGACTGATATGCAACATGACCTTTTCCGGTCAGGTCATGACCTTGACCTGAGGTCAAATTTTCCAGTTGACCTTTCAAGGTCAACTTATAGTTCATTCGACGCGTCTTGACGAGAGGAACACGATGCTGGCAAAAGTAATGTCATAGCTCTTTTGAGTCAAAAGTTATTGCCGAAAAAACGTTTTTCGTAAAAACGGCTATTTTTGGAGTTTTTGCCCTCTGGAGGCTAAACCGTTGACCTGAGGTCAAATCTGAGAACATTACCCAGAAAGGTCTGTGAAAGGGCTATCGAATGCGCTTTTTTGCGGCGCTGTAGCTCTATCGGTTCCCGAGATAGCCGTTGGCAGTTTCCAAAATGTTGAAATAGTCAACATTTTACCTTTGGTGACCTCTGGTGACCTGACCTTTGACCTGACCCAAAAAATGACCTAAGTGTTTTCGTCCTTATTTTTGACGTTCTTTCGATTGCCGCTTACCGCGTGTCGCTACGTGGCCCAGGAGCCGAGTTAGAAGGGGGGGTGTTCAAACACCCCCCCGCGGCCCGGCGCGGAATTTCAGGGCACCGGCCCGGCGCGGGTTAACAATACACCTATCATTATGTCAATAATAGTTTTATGAGGCCTGTATGCAACTGTAGGCCTGCTATGTAATTATCTATTTGACCATGTGATAATGCTAGTGCGACGGCATTGTTCAGCTGCAGTGTGCGGCACTGACTTTTCGTAGACCTCTGGGTCGACGTTTTGCGGTATGGCGCCGCCGGACATCATGGCTTTCTGAGCCTCCAGCTCCTCCTGAGAACACAACAGTGAGAGGCCGGAGTGATAGGACACCAGACGGCACACCGCAGGGCAGGGGTCAGAGGATAGAACACGGCGGGGCCGAGGTGAGGAAGCAGCACACTGGAGTGGGGTGAGCCGTCAGCTGTGTCCAGTCACCAGCGTCAGACCGGCTGCTCAGACCGGCGCCTCAGGTGCGTACAGACACAGCGAGTGTGCAGGTGATATACAGCAGCTCAGGGCTACCTCATCGCTAGGGCACTCAGGGGCCGAGATCAGCATATGGAGTCTGAGGGGGTCACCATATGTAGGTACACAGTCGATAGCTGAAACATATCTATCATCTTCCGCCACTATTTCACTGCTACACTATACTTGCGTTAGTTCCTTTCCTTTCACACGAATGATGATCACAAGTTACTCCCACCATCCATATAAAAAATAGAGGGTAACGGTGAAATAGCAGCCTCCCTCCCCTGGCGCTCATCCCAGCGGCCCGCAGCGGGGCGGTGACTGACCCTCATTTTGCGCTCCCGCTCCTCGAACTCGGCCCGTATTTTGGCGGCCTGTTTTTCCACTTCGGCCGGGTCGGGCGGTCCGCTGCCGCCGCCGGCCTTCTGCTGCTTCTCCAGCTCCTTTTTCATCTTCTTCATCTCCTGATCGTACTCGGCCTTGAGCTTCTCCCGCTCGCGCTGGATCGCCTCCTCGTCCACAACTGGAACAGCGGGGGTCGGGTTAGACAGCGCGACTCTGGCCACAGCTGAGTAACGCTGGAACAGCGGCGGTGGGGGGCAGTGGGTCAAACAGTGCGACTCTGGCCACACAGCTGAGTAGCAGTACACCACTGGAGCAGCGGGGGCCGCGTCAGACAGTACGGCGAAGACAGTACACTGCTACCCACAGCTGAGTAGCAGGTACCGCTGAATACAGCTGATCGGAGACCGTTGGGTACATAACTGAACTACCGCTGATGAGATAGCTCACACAAGGTCAAACAAAAAATGGCAGTGGTTCGCATTGCCTGACTATGAAGTCAGCGAAAAATAATCAGGCAAAGTTCGTTCGAGGTCTGCTGATTGAAAGCCATGCATCAAGCACACGCCGAAAAAAGGCCAGCTTCAACACCGTCACTCGGAAAAGGTGCCAAACATGAACAATGGGCATTGGGCACGTACCCAAAATATTCATCAATCTTGAGAACCCCAAGAAAAACATCTCAACAAACGACAATCCTGTTTCGTGAATGAGTGTTAGGTTATGTAAAGAAAATAAGATAAACAGCCAAACCTTTGCAAAACAAGAACAAAAAGCTGAACCATTCCTGTTTCACAATCACTTACACGGGTCTGAGGTAAGATCACCTGCATGGACACACGACCGGGGTGATCAGTTCTCTTCCATTGCCACATAGCGCAGGGACATTGGACGTGCGTGGTAATTGTGTCATGTGTGCACGGGTGTATGTCAAAGTGTGTGAGAGAGGGCGGGTTGGCTGCTGTTTGGCACCCGCCACACAGCGGCACTGTCCCGGCACCAGTGAGGCACGCACTGACGACAAACACCGGTGATTTGAGCCGACACCAGCAGTGGCAACCCATCAGACCAGCACTTGACGAGCTAGCGGTCGACGCAGCCCGGCTGCATCGCGGTCAGCTCCACAAGTGCAGAAATGGTGTCTTTTAGATCCAGTGCATCGAATTGTTTTTGTTTTTTGTTTTTTTGTTCAATGACGTTAGTTTTGCTGCTGCTCTTTTTAACAATGCATATATTACGCAAACTAATAAAACCAGCCACGACGAGTAACAGTCTGCACGCCAATACACCACGCCGACTATGCAGTCACAGTACCACCACGCCACAGGCCCACGACACCAGTCTGCCGGCAGCCGGCCAGGCCACTCACCTTTCTCGAGTTTGACCTGGGCGGGCCCGCCGGCCGACTCCAGCTGCTCCTTGAGCTTCTTGATCTCCTCGGCGTACTCCCTGAGCAGGGTGTCCTTGGGGTCCTCGTTGATCTTGGGCTTGTTCTTGATCTGTTTGGCGCGGTTGGCGTAGCGCAGGGTGCTGACCGTCTCGTCGTAGTTGTTGTCGGCCGGCGACAGACAGGCTACCATCATCGTCTTGGTGTTGCCTCCCAGAGAGTCCTGTGAACCGGGCAACCGGGCTAACACGGGACAATCGGTATCCGCTCACCGCGGAACGCCTCCATCACCGGACTCGGAAACGGTATTAGCTGACCACGGAATGCTAGTATAACCGACATCGGCAACAACTATAGTGCCATAAAGCAATTGAAAAGGCACACGGATAATAAACTATCCAGCGTTTTAGCACGGGCACACCATTGTACAGTCTGTCTTAAAAGTACCGCGCAAAGTGGCGGTGGATCCATCAAGCCTGACCGATGAAGGACTGCCAAATTTGAGTCACCGAAGCAATGGACATCCTCGTCCGTTCCCCAGCTCCATTGGTTCGGTGACTTTCAAATTATAGCAGGCCCTTCCTCGGTCAGGCTTGATGGATCCACCGTCACTTTGCGCGGTACTTTTAAGACAGACTGTACACAATAGGCTGATAGAATAGACGTCTGCTTCACATTAATCCTATTGTCTTTTCACGCACCAGCCAATACCGGCCATCGGTCGGCAGCGTCAGGGCAGCCAGGAATAATAAGCAGATTCAGACGGCAAACCCCTTTCATCCGTTTAGAATTAGAGGTGGTCGGCGACGACATGATAAATGGATCGCCTCTAGCATTCAGCACCAAATCGGCCTCCTACCCCGCAGCCTGACGTGATATCGCCAGGAGCTAGCTGCTGGGGCCGTGCAGCCGGCGAATAGCTGGGGACTGTGGCGCTGCATTGTGAATAAGTAACTACACCTGTTACTGCCCCACTCTGTACCGGCTGCGGCCGGGCGGGGATGCGGGCCACACTGCGGGCCGGGCGAGGGCGCCGCGTTTCACCGCTGGGCGGAATGAGGACAGGACGGTGCCGAGTGCCGACTGACCCAGTTACGGGGAACGACGCGTGTTGGAACTTGGAAGGCTGTGCCACCGGCGGTCTGCGCTATAACCGACTGCAGAGGGGCGACAGATTCCCACACCGTGACGTGGCTCACGGCCATATCGAGCTCAGGACGGTGTCGGTACCGCGCAGGACATGACTGATACGAACGTAATACAATGCCCCGATCACGGGGCAGTAATTACTATGTTATACATGAGTTTGCGTAAACCTTAGCACGAGGTAACTCGGCAATCACACACAGCTGCTGCACTCTGACTTGAACGTGAATTCAAACAGGTCGTGGCACAAACCTGACCTTGACGATGCCATTTTCCAATCACATGTCCAAAACGGACCATAAAACAAGTGTCGCATGACCTTTTATAAGCCCTAAAATTCCATTCACCATTTGTAACTTAGGCTGACCGAGCTTTCATGACCTGAAACATGCCCAGCACAAGCTCTTGGGTCAAAATATGTTTACAGTGATGGTCGAACTAAAACGAATTATAGGTTCCTTTCGATAGTTCTTTTCAGGGCTATCCAACGCCGTTTGAATTTATCCAACGCCGTAATCGAACCAGTACTTTCTTAGATAGGAGGGGGTCTACAGAGACCCCCAGTCGCTCGCGTTATGGAATATACCCGTCATGCGCGGGCTAATCAAGCAATAACATCAGTGCGTGCGAAAACGCATCACTTCTTACCGTCTGCCAAACTGGCCATAAATTTCAGCTGTGCGGCTTCTTGGACGCTGCACACTTCATTAGACAGTGGACACGATAATGTCAATAATTTAGCGTCCATCCTCACATTAGCCGCTGCACCATGCAATTGCACACTGCACAAAGGAACGCTCATTACCCATGATCTATAATAAGGCTGCCAACAACATGTTCAATAAAGACTCAGCGTATGAAGTCAGAAGGGCAAGTCAGATGGGAAGCCTAACACTGCAGAGTTCCGAATGGCAGGCACTGGACGCATAAGACTGCAGTTTGCGATCACACCTAAGAGCAGCACGTGCAAGCAACCAAGCGGTTACAAACACACGAATACATGCTATAAAATGCTTCGTAGCTGACGTCTCGGTACGTTTTGTATCTGTAGCTCAGTGTTTTACCTGCAGCAGTCGGGTCAGTTCGGACTTCGGAGTCCCGGAACGTTTTGAATCTGTGGCTCAGTGTTTTACCTGCAGCATCGGGTGAGTTTGGAGTCCCGGTAAGATATGTGAGTCTGTAGCCCAGTGTTTTACCTGCAGTAGTCGGGTTAGTTTGGAGTCTCGGTAGGGGATGTGTTTGCTCTTGCCGTCGACCAGGGCCGAGATGACGTTTCCCAGCGCGGACAGCGACAGGTTGATTTTGGTGGCCTCCTTCAGACGATCGCCGGTGGCACCTGCCGGAGACGCGGCCGACATCCACCGTTATCACAGCACCCAACCAGTATAAACTCACATCACTACCAAACATGTGAAAACGCCTCGGCCCCAGCGGCCTGCACGCACCCGTTTTTCCCTGTCGCTCGGAGCCGGCCAAGTCGACCAGGTTCAGTTTGCCGGCGCGGATGTTGTCCTTGGCGCCCGGCTTTTTGGCCGGCGTGATCATCTCGATGAAGATGGTGAAGATGGAGTGCGAGCGCGACGAGTCCTTGTTCATCAGCGTCTCGCCGACGGATCGGTTGTTCCAGCCCTTGGCCATGAGCGCCTCGCACTCCTTGGTGTTGGCCACCGGGTGTTTGGTCAGGTCCTGCACGTAGACGCCCTTCTCCGGGTGCTCCTTCAACTCGATCTTCTTCTTGGAGTCGACGCCCAGCAGGTCGCGGATCTCCTCGTTGTAGATCTCCAGGTAGGATCCGTGCACCTGCCGGAAAAGACGTGTCGGCGTCGGATACATACAGCAAGGGTGCCGTCGGTGCCGCAGACATGGGTAACAAATGCTGCTGGATTGTATATGTCACGGTCAAGGCATTCCATAACAACAGTGATCAATTTATTCTGAGGGCAATGTAAAAAAAGGTTTTCATTCAACATTCCGAGTGCATGGCCACATCGACTTAAGTGCGACAATGGCAAACAGCTGTGAATCATACAGCAGAAGATAGCAGTATCTTTCCGTCTTTTAATTCAATTACCGTAAGTATCTACGATTGGAGCCCCTCCCCCTCCATGTAGCCAGTCAGGCACGCCAAATCCCCCGCCTCCTCTACCCCCGTCACCGAGGAGCACGGCCGAGCGGTCGACCCGGCCCGGTCACCCCGGGCCTGTACGTACTCACCAGAAACTTGGACTCATCCGAAGTGGAGGTCACGTCGAATATGTGCTCGAACGCACGCGGGATTAGGCCGACCTGCGTGGGCGGGTCCTTGATGCCCTGCATGGAGAACGACTTGCCGCAGCCGGTCTGTCCGTAGGCGAAGATGGTGCCGTTGTAGCCCTCGAGGGTGCCCTCGACCAGCGGGTAGGCCATGTCCTTGTAGATGTTCTCGGTGATGGAGTCCATGTAGTAGACGCCGTCGAAGGTGAAGGACTTTGGCGGCGCGTTCTTGTCGGCCGGGTTGACGATGGAGACCTGCATCACGCTCGGCTCCATGAACACCACCACCTGAGCACGGACAGCAGGGGGGAGGGGGAGGGGGGGGGGGGGTCAGGGGACAGTACAACTGTCAGTAGCCGGGTTGACGATGGAGACCTGCATCACGCTCGGCTCCATGAACACCACCACCTGAGCACGGACAGCAGGGGGGAGGGGAAGGGGGGTCAGGGGACAGTACAACTGTCAGTAGTCGGGTTGACGATGGAGACCTGCATCACGCTCGGCTCCATAAACACCACCACCTGAGCACGGACAGCAGGGGGGAGGGGGAGGGGGGTCAGGGGGACTGACGGTGGCGGGGGGGGGGGGGTCAGTGGGACTGACGGCAGCAGGGGGGGGGGGGTCAGTGGGACTGACGGCAGCAGGGGGAGGAGGGTCAGTGGGACTGACGGCAGCAGGGGAGGGGGGTCAGCGGGACTGACGGTGGCGGGGGGGGGGGGGGGGGGTCAGTGGGACTGACGGACGGCAGCAGGGGGGGGGGGTGAAAAGGTGACAATCAACCGACCGAGGGAGAACAACGCAATACAGAAAACTATTTAGTTACCGCTACTGTCAAAGCAGGGAGGGGCTGCTGTCAGAGGAGGGCATGATAAAGTCAACTCTATTTTCTCTCGTCATTAACTGCATGGCCGGATACGACAAATCCACCCACCGACTTTATCTGGCTTGTAACGTGGCCATTGGGCAGACTGTGGCACTGATCGGTGCAAGCCAATCCCGTCGAAAGCGGCAAAAATACCAAAGTCAGACTGGCCAAAGCCGGGTTCTGGACTTTATCTGGAGATAATCATCTCTCTCCGCCGATCTAGTGAGGACGACAAAGTGAGCGATCCTGTACAACTCTCCGCAGGTAGTGTCGGGCCCCCGCCGGTAGTAACAATGTCACGTCCATCCACACCAATGGTGCCAGCCAGGCGTTCCCCCGAGCCACCGTCCGCCGTCCCTGAATAATGGATACGATACACCAGCGTTGACTTCAGTAGCCGTGCTGGAGCCCGTGACAGTGCCGCCAGGGGCCGTTCCATGCAAAAGCAGCACTTCATAAATGTCCAACTGAAACATGGTTCACTCAGCACGACCGTAACATACAGTCCAAAAGGATCCGTCCAATTGTCTTTCGGAGTCAACTAAATAACACATGACTTCAGGAGCGTTACGTAACCGTATAGTCCTGCGCGCTGGTCAATGGCGGATATTCGCGTGTACCTTGCTTTGAGTAATGGCCACATGGTGCGAGGACTAGCCAGGAAACATGTCGAAGCGATGAGCAAGGCAGAGCACACCCTCGGCCAGGGTCGGATGGTAGCGGGGACCGGGCCGGGCCCCAGAAGCCATGTGTGTCGGCTCAGCCACCGGTCACTGTGGGACCGGGCCGGGCCCCAGAAGCCCTGTGTGTCGGCTCAGCCACCGGTCACTGTGGGATCGGGTCGGGCCCCAGAAGCCCTGTGTGTCGGCTCAGCCACCGGTCACTGTGGGACCGGGCCGGGCCCCAGAATCCCTGTGTGTTGGCTCAGCCACCGGTCACTGTGGGACCGGGCCGGGCCCCAGAAGCCCTGTGTGTCGGCTCAGCCACCGGTCACTGTGGGACCGGGCCGGGCCCCAGAAGCCCTGTGTGTCGGCTCAGCCACCGGTCACTGTGGGACCGGGCCGGGCCCCAGAAGCCCTGTGTGTCGGCTCAGCCACCAGCCATCGCTGGGGTTACCCAGTCGCCGCCCCTCCCCTCCCTCCACCGCGTGCGTGGTCCACAGGCGGCTCACAAACCGGGCCGGGGCCTCGGTGGCCGTAGCCTTTCAGCTGCTTCAATGGCACACACTCCGCGCCAATCGATGAGCGAAGTCCGGTCCCCGGCGGCCTCACACAGTGGGCAGCGGAGTGCGACCACCGGCTAACGGCCCCGGGCCCGCAGCCCAGGCAGGACAACAGGTGACGGGCGCAGGGCAACCGATACTATCGCCCCGGTCAGGATATAGCCTATATGGAGGCAAATTGGAATCGTCCTAATTGCAGGAAATCCCATATCCAGAGTAGTCGCGCGATTTCGCCTGAACAGCAGTTGGTCCAAGTGTGTTTCAGGCGGCCTGCATCAAAGCTGTCCTCCAAACGTGAGCGTGCCACGTATCAAAGAAGTAGCACATTTCAGCACGCACCACAGGGCACCCGACTTCATTGCAGTGCGCACATACATACAAATGATTCGGCGGGCCCAGGGGCGACATTACACATCGATTCGTCGGCGGTCGGCGCTGCAAAGGTCACAGGCCGGCCGTGGGACTGCCGGCCGGCCCGGCCCGGCCCGGCCCGGTCGGACTGGCAGGCCGGGCGCAGTGCACCGGTACACACTCACACACACACACACACACACACGACTGTTTACGGTCGATCGGAGCGGGCGCTGACCGGTCGATGGTGACCACCAATAGCACAGCGCGCCGCGGCCGCCGTGACATTGCCCCGGCCGGCAACCGCCCGGCCCACTGAGGTATTACCCCCGGCCGGCGACCGCCCAGAGGACTGTGACATTACCCCGCCCTGTGCAGTGACATAACCCCCGGCCGGCAACCGCCCGGCCCACTGAGGTATTACCCCCGGCCGGCAACCGCCCGACCCACTGAGGCATTACCCCCGGCCGGCGACCGTCCAGAAGACTGTGACATTACCCCGCCCTGTGCACTGACATAACCCCCGGCCGGCAACCGCCCGGCCCACTGAGGCATTACCCCCGGCCGGCGACCGTCCAGAAGACTGTGACATTACCCCGCCCTGTGCACTGACATAACCCCCGGCCGGTAACCGCCCGGCCCACTGAGGCATTACCCCCGGCCGGCGACCGCCCAGAGGACTGTGATATTACCCCCTACCCCCCCCCCCCCCCAGCCGCCGTGACATTGCCACGGCCCAACGACCGCCCAGTCATTGAGGCAGTATCCCCGCCGGCGCCTATTGTGACATTACCCCACCCGGCCTATTGTGAAATTATCCCACCCGGCGACCCCCAGCGCACTGTGACATTACTCTCTCCCCACCCCCACCGCGGCATTACTCCGGCCCGGTCTATTGTAACATTGCCCCACCCGGCGACCACTCTACCCACCGCAACATTACCCCCGCCCCGCCCGGCTTATTGTAGGTACATTGCCCCACTCGGCGAGAGCCCTGCGGCTGACTGGGCTGGCCGTCCCGACGTGCACGCTGGATCACCGCCGCTGTCACCACTACCACCTGAGGAGCACGAGTCGGCGGCAAATACCGGAGGCGCTATAACCCGGCGCCTGTCCCGGACGGGTCAGCAGTGTGTCACCCGTGACTGGGGCGATTCCACTCACCTCACAGTTGAGACCCTTCTCTCGACTGTTCATGGGCCGACATCGGACCAGCACCTTGACGGATTCGGCCATAGTGCGGTCTCCCTCAGCCTGTGAACACAGCACCGGTCGGTGGCAGTCAGTAGAGACACTGCATAGATGGCACACTGCTCACATGTCCCGCCCCTATGCCTATACAGTATACATTGGCGGCTCCCTACGGAGCAGCGCCCGGCGTATCGCCGCGGGTGGCCACGATATCACTGCACAACTGCACAGGACGCAGCAGTCAGCACAGTCAGTGAGACAGTGCGCCCGACGGCGGCCGGCGATACATCCCAGATTCTATCACCGAAAGGTAGAGCGATCCCTACTTGGGAAACAGGCAAACGTGTGCCTATCGAAGGGCAACCTACATGAAACACGAGCACACATTCAAATCATTAACGTTAGCAACAAAGGCGTGCCACCGGCTAGATAACCACCGCCACGAAAATAAAGGTAAGGTTGCTGAGAGAAACCAGCATGTTAAATTGTCAATGTTCTACCAGTGGCGGCGGAACACCTTCAACTAAGGGGGGGGGGGACACTGCCAACTTTTGGTCCCATTCTTTCCATGCAACGCCCATAGGGCGAAAGTTAAAATGTCAAAATCAAAGGGGGGCACGGTGCCCCGGTGCCCTCCCCGTTCGCCACCTATGTGTTCTACATCTTCTGCTCTTAGCAAAGTGCTAAAATGTCTGTGACATATAAGTGCATGTATGCTAAAATGTCCTTTAGGAAGCCATGGCTCCGACCCCGCCCGTTCCCGTAGTTCTGCCAGTAACAGCGAATCTGAGGTGGCCGTGGGCATTGGGCAATGACAGTCTTACCTTCAAAAGTTAGGGTTGCCTTCTCGCAGATTCTGAACCTAAGCTGAATTCAAAAAGGGTGAAGAAAACAAAGCAGTAAAACATTTCAAAACTTCTGTGTTTCATGTTCCTGAGCCAGGGGTTCACATTTCTGCAATAAGGGAAGGTCGCCGAGGTTTGTCCACATCTGAAAAAGAAGAAACGATCAGTTATAGCAAACAATCAGATAAGGTAAGCACAAGACGCGCTCCCTGATTCGAACACACACTCGGTGTCTTTGTCGTGTTGATTCCATCCTGGAATGTCCAGAGGTAACTGCCACTCTTCCGTCCCGAACTGAGCAAGTAGGTACACAGCGCTGTACTGATATGTACTGCTGGCTGGTGACAGAGCCCGGGTTCGAGTCACTCCGACACCGACTGCTGGCTGGTGACAGAGCCCGGGTTCGAGTCACTCCGACACCGACTGCTGGCTTGTGACAGAGCCCAGGTTCGATTCGCTCCGACACCGACTGCTGGCTGGTGGCAGAGCCCGGGTTCGAGTCACTCCGACACCGACTGCTGGCTGGTGGCAGAGCCCGGGTTCGAGTCACTCCGACACCGACTGCTGGCTGGTGACAGAGCCCGGGTTCGAGTCACTCCGACACCGACTGCTGGCTGGTCACAGAGCCCGGGTTCGAGTCACTCCGACACCGACTGCTGGCTGGTGACAGAGGGCTCGAGTCACTCCGACACCGACTGCTGGCTGGTGACAGAGCCCGGGTTCGAGTCACTCCGACACCGACTGCTGGCTGGTGACAGAGCCTGGGTTCAAGTCACTCCGACCCCGACTGCTGGCTGGTGACAGAGCCCGGGTTCGAGTCACTCCGACACCGACTGCTGGATGGTGGCAGAGCCCGGGTTCAAGTCACTCCGACACCGACTGCTGGCTGGTGACAGAGCCCGGGTTCGAGTCACTCCGACCCCGGCCCCGGTCAGCTCAAGTGCCCCATGGTATGTACGGCTTCAGCTGTTGGTACCTAAATACCTTCGCCAAAAATGGTCGCAGAACCAGGATTTTGGCAGCATCGTGTTCGCCACGCTCCGGCGCGTCGAATGGCATACATATTATTGAGTGAGATTAACTTGGTGTTGACCTAGGTTAAAGGTCAGGCCAGAGCCACTCAGGCCAAAGTTTGTCGAAGGATGTCATATCGCACATCATTCGATTCGGCAGGTCTTCCAAAGTACAATGGCGGCTTTCCCGACTCCTAGCTAAATTTGATCGGGAGTTATTGACGAAATATCTCCTAACCAGGGATTGGTGTTTGTAGTTTGGTCACCACCTAAAGGGTCATTATGTTACCCTACGAGCATGTAAATATTCCTTGCTGCTTAAAAAGTTAAAAGTACCTACCATGATGAACCCACTGCACGTTTATGACCACGACCGATTCACCGGTGTTGCTACTTACTTATGTCGAACGTTCGATGCACTTCAGGTAGATGGCGGTAAGTCGGGTGCATCGCATCACCATTATCAGCAGCTACTTGGCATATCCGTTGAGGTTTGACCAGGTGGGCAACATCGGGATTCTGAGACAATTGGTTACGCAATCGGCAGTACCGTTAACAATAGATAATAGTCATGACAAATGTGCTTAGCCTATAAGTAAAACCATAGTAACGATAGGTCCAGTAGTGAAGCTATTGAAAATTTTTGTCCCGTAGCTCAGTTGGTAGAGCATTGGACTCCCGGTAGTGAGAGCGCGGGTTCGAAACGCTACGGCGCTCGATATTTGAGACTCCTGACGGGAATGGTCTGCGATTGGTGAGAGCAGCCGCAGCCAGTTGAAGTCAGTTGAGTGGGACAGGCCGTGTCCGGCTTTGAAGGGCACGTTAACCCGCGAGTTGCTGGGGGGGGGGGGGTTAAACGCCCCCACTTTTTTCGCCGGGCCATAGCATAAAAACGGCGCGCCGCAGGCGCGCCAAATTTTGGGTACCTGTAGGGAATCGATTGAAGTTTATTGTGACAAAGTTTAAAAAAAATCGGTCAGAAAATTTTTGAGATATCGAGGTTTTAGTGACGTCATGATTTCTGAGTTTTCGACCAAAAACGGCATATGTTCAAAAAATCATATAAAATCACAGAATAGACATACAGACATGCCGTAAACGCCATTAGACTGCCAATACCATGGTCAATCAAATGGCTATCTTCGATTATTGATTAGCGTTCCGCATTTTCCATAATCTTGAACTGAATCTTGGCAATTTTTCGTGACTAGTTCACGACCATGATACATGAATTTCTTAAATTGAACTTTTTGAGCCAAACACGTACACATATGATAAAATGAATGTCACCATCGTGTTCTACGCCCCAAATTACCTATAAAACATGTGTCACAGGCTGCGAATATCAGTTTTGATTTTCGGGGATATGTGCCTACCCGGTTGATCTGACCTTGACCCTGACCTATGCTTGACTGACCCCTACATGGAGCTGACACTCTTGTAGGCCTTATAAGATGGATTGTGCACCGTTTTGACAGAGTTTATGGCGAGAGGCGCCCATTGCGAAGTCCTGAAGTCCATGCTACTGAAAGCCCGATTTCAGGTGTTTGACCTGACCTTGACCCGACCTGTGACCTCAAAATTCAACTTTAAAGTACTCATCTGAAGCGTCTCGTCGCGCTCTTTCGTTTGCCGCCTCGTGCGTTTCGCTGCGCCTATTGGTTCTCGAGTTATCGGCTGGGGGCGTTTAACGCCCCCCCCCCCCAGCAAACGGTGGGTGGCGAAATACCCCAGCAACTGCCGGGTTAACTTTGGCATCTAAATTTTCCCGTTACCCGGAATTGCGCGATCGGACGGTAGGGGTCGGGGTCTGCGCAACAAGCTCTGCTTAGCGTGGGCTCCGGCTACGTCAATCCGTCCATTCAAACATTCGAGCTAAATTTATTTTAAAAAAAAAATCAACTATGTTCAGCTGCAGGTAGGGTCCTTTTCGAGCATCTTAAATTGTGCGTTTTTCTGTATTTCGTATCTTACGCCATATTTTTTTTCAAAACGAAATTTTTCGAAATTTTCAAAAAAAGGTTATTCAGAGTTCAATTCACTGTTCACACTGTTCAATTCCACATCAGCCTAAGCAAAAATGACGAAAAAATACCAAACGGTTTTCATTTTACAGCGATTTTACTAAACCACTACCTTACTGTCTCAGCTACCCGATGATGTGCTTTGGTTTGGGATCCGGCCGACCTTTATACTCGAGAACCGCTGAGCAACTTTATTTTCGACATAACCCGGAAATGAGCTAGAGGGAAAGTAAGGTTACATGCTGGCAAGACAATTGGTGTCGTTTTTAGCGGTCTAGCTCTACTGGGTGGGCCACAAACTGTTGTGCAAATTTTGATCACGTGAGCTTTGCTGACCTCTGCAGGTCAAACCGCTGGGGTTGCCACCGAATGGCTAGGGCTGTGGTTTGTGTACGTCTCGGCCTGCAAGTTTCAGTTTGATCTGAGGTTTCCCGAATCTGGGCCGAATCCTGGCTGAATCTGAATATGAGCTGTCTTGTTGGACATTTCTTGCGGTGCCGCTGAATAATTGCAGTTTTACCATACCTATGTTATATGTAGGTACCTACCGGTTTTTGTGACGAGGTTAACTGAGCCGAAACGAATGGGACTTGAAATTTTCAGGACATGCGTCAAAATAATGCCGCATACGGTGATCAAAACTTGGCGGATCTATGCGATGCCATATCAAAGTGATTTGCAAAAACTTACGTACTTAACCAGAACCTATTCCCCTGGCATTGGCGATGGTCAAGTTTAAAAATGCGAAATTAAGATTACATTCGATAAGATTTTTAGTAATGCTGAGTGCCGCAAAGAACATGTGACGCTTCTTGACATCACAACACCAGCTAAAGCTTTGCAATATAAGATGAAAAAAATGAGCAAAGCTAAATTGAGATTTGTCAGAACAGAGCGAGAGTAGAGACCCCACAGAATGCTGCTATAAAATACAGGCGACTATAAAGTAATACTTTACTTACCGAGTTTGGAGCGCAGTGAAGATTTCCTCGTACTTCTTGGTCACATGAAATAATTCCAGCGAAAATATTCTAAAGTTAACAAATAATTTTGATGGGCAGGTAGCGCCCGCGGAACCCAACCCCAGCGATTTCCGAGAGAACTGCCGCCAGCTGCTAGCACATGGGCAACAAACCAGCAGGTGGTTGCTATGGATAGTGCTGCCACCTGTGCCCGAGATCGACACTACACCTTCGCCAATGCACCTCCAGGCTGCGGAGCTGCAGTCACAGAATCGCCCGTTTGGTGTTTTGCCAGCAGCGAACGTAACTCTGAGGACGAATCGGGTTATTTCAATGCAATGCTGAGATTACAATACATACTTCCAGAGATGATAGGCAGACCAAACACCTGGCCGGAAAGTTTCATCTCGCATAATAACGTCAGTATCAGTGTCTGTGTCCGCGCCCTGCTGGGGGGGGGGGGGGGGGCCCTGTCTAACTTCCGAACCGACGGTCGTAGAAAGACGGGGAAAACGGAAATCGAAAGCTCTCAACAAGGCGCATCTTAAGAGCCCAATTTTTTTTGCTTAAGTAGGTCAGAGGTCAGGTCAAGGTCAGGTCAAGGCCCAGGGGTACAAAATGCAAGGTTCTACAGTATCGGCCTTGCACCGTAGTTGCCGAAGAATGGACTGAGACTGATTGCCCAAAACGTGTTCTTAGACTACCAAGACAATATTCGTTGCATACAATGTCATTCAAAGGTCAAGGTCAAGGTCAGGTCAGGTCAGGTCAGGTCACCAAAAACAAAATATAGAAAAGGGCATGTGCGACACATGTTTTATGGGTCATTTTACTCATAGAATTCAATAGGCACACACAATAAGTGATATGGACCACCTCTGGATGAATTTCAGGTCGAGGTCAGGTCAAGGTCAGGTCAAGTGAGGTCAAATTTTGAAGTTAGTTGTAAAGGCCTAAAAAGGTGTCTATCTGATGCAGTTTTTCACGACAAAACGAATGGTGCTATTTTTGTTTCCTTACGAGGTCTACAACTTCCAAAAACAAACATTTTTCAAAAAATTTGTGTGTCGTTACGTCATAAAATTTTGAATAAATCCCACATTTTTGAACCGATTCTTCTAAAAATTGGTATGTAGGTACACATAGACCACTTCTCTGACATATATTCCGGTTTTTCGATACACTCAAAATTTTGAATTTTATAATTATTTTCGCAAAAAGTCAGTTTTTGAAAAAAATGGGCCCAAATCCAAAAATTTTAAAAACCGAGATAGCCATTTGATTGACAAAGCAGAATCACGTGTAACCTTTTTTGTTACGTCTTGATGTTTTTAAAAATGAAGATGTTAGCGGCGTTTGAAATTTTGCCGTTTTTGAGGCGAAAATGGCGAACATGACGTCACTTTTCTACATATTGATGTATGATAAGGTACTGAAAGTTTGACGTCGCTGGCGTAACGCGTTTAGAAGTTATTGGCGAAAAACGGGAGGGGGCAGATTCTGCCCCCCCCCCCCCCAGCAGCGGGGCGCGGGGTAAGGTCAGTGTCGGTGTCATTGCCAGTCTTAGAGTCAGTGTCATTACCGGTGTCATTGCCAGTGTTAGAGTCAGTGTCATTACCGGTGTCGGTGTGAGTGTCAGTAGCAACGTCAGTGTCAGAGTCAGTATCAGTGTTAGTGTCAGCGTAGCGATGTCAGTGTCAGTATCAACTATCAGTATCAGTATCAATGTAAAAGTCAGTGTCATTCGCGGTGTCGATGTCAGTGTCAATCCAAGCACCAGTGTCAGTGTCGGTGTCGGTGTCGGTATCAGTGTCAGTACTCAGTATCAGTACCTATAAGTGTCAGTGGCGGTGTCAGTGTCGGCCGACCGCGGGTCACGGGCTGCAGCCGCCGGGAGCCGCTGCGGTCGACCTTTGACGCGGCGCACGAGTCGCGCCGGAACCGCCCCATTTCCGCCGCCATTGGCGCTCATTACGGCGCGCCGGGGCGCCGGAACCGGCTACTGCGGCTACCGCGCCGGGTCAGGGCTGTGCTCAGAAGGGACCACTAATTACCGAGGACAGAAACAATGCTGCTGCCCGTGTGTGAGGTCAGCTGTGTAATCCGGCGCCTGTTTATCCGTTTTCAGACCAAGTGGTCTCACCTGAGTCTCTGTCTGCCCGGTACATCATGTGGGGTAGACGCTTGATATTGTACTGACCTGATGCGTAACCAACGTCTACTCTTCGGAATTTACAGCTTTTAATCAAATTCCATTTACCCTCAGCAGCACCTCAATCGAAGACAACCGATCAAGGACGCATACCTATTCACGCTTCCTCCCAGCAGTAACGTTACGGTAAAAAAGCATGGATGTTGAGTCTCGATTATGTACTTACTTGACAGTTAACATATTGCTCGCCGCTCTTTTATCTATCAAACTACTGGCATACATAGTAATAGAAGGCCCAGCTAGCCGGTTCTAGATTCTCCCGTGTTGTGAGACCTGGCAACAGACCCTGGCTGTGACCAGGTCAGGGCAGGACCGGATAGTTCTGTGATCTGGTCAAATTAGAACAAGACCATGATGACCCGGTGAGGTCAGGACGGATCCGTGACCCGGTCAGGTCAGTTGAGAACAGGTCCTTGACCCGGTGAGGTCAACACAAGACCTTGACCCGGTGAGGTCAGGGCGGATTCGTGACCCGGTCAGGTCAGTTGAGAACAAGTCCGTGACCCGGTCAGGTCAGGTGAGGACTGGTGAGGTCCGTGACCCGGTCTGGTCAGGTGAGGACAGGTGAAGTCCCTGACCCGGTCAGGTCACGTGAGAACAGGTCCGTGACCCGGTTAAGATGGGTCCGTGACCAAGTCAGGTGAGGTCAGGTGACAATGTCGGTCCGTGACCAGGAACAGAGATTAACAGAGGCAGTGCTCATCCACCCGACAAGCAGGAATTTTCCAACGAAACGGAAGATTACCTATTCAACACACAAAATTACTTTAGTGAGCTTAGGTAATTTCGCATGTGGGCAAAAGTGCAAAACTACAGCACAGCTCAGATCGGCCAAGATACATTAAGCTACTTACAACAGAAGAGTCAGCTCAGCAAAATCCACTCTCAGCCAGGTTACATAACTTTTCTGAGCGTTGGCTGGGATTTGTCCTGTAGGTACTCACGCCCACACGCAAACAAAGTACCCCTCGGTTACATGCACACATACAATGCGGCGACCCCGGCGTGCCTGCTTTAATTCCGTGCTGCTTACTCTTGCGGTAAAGTGGTCGCACCCGGGCTGCAGAACAAAACAAAGAGAAAGCGCAGCCGTGTGTTTTAGTGAGCAAGGCGTGCGCCAGTCGCTCTGTTTTAGCGAGCACGGCCTGCGCCAGTCGCTCTGTTTTAGTGAGCGGGACCTGCACCAGTCGCAGGTCCTCGCTCACAGCGCAGTGTGCGTGGCGGGACGGTGGCGGCTGGCAGGACCCCAGCGGCACCCCGACAGAACCCCTGTGAGGAGGACCGGGGACCGCTCCGGCGACTGGCAGTGTGAGCGGCCTCCCGGCACACGACTGTGACTGGGACTGGGATTGGGACTGGGACTGGGACTGGGACTGGGACTGGGACTGGGACTGGGACTGAGTGATTCTGACGATCGGCCGCTGCTCGGGCGCAGTCGATCGCACGGGCCTTCCGCACACACGATCAGTTCCGGCCGCCGAGAGCCGTGTCGGTTTTCCGCGCCGGTTGTGCCGGTCACGGCCGCCCCCGCCCCCGCCCCCGGCCGGGGAGGCGGCGGCGGGCACGATTTCAGCGGGTATACGGTGCGCACAGTGCCGCCCCCGCCGCGTGCCGTGCTGCTCATACCGGCACAGCCAGAGGAGCCGGTGGAATCAGTGCAGTGGTGACGCGGACACAGAGCTGAGGACGCCGTGAAGAGACACCGTTCAGGAGGCGCACAGGGCATCGTGTCGGGAACCACCACCAGCGCAGGTCAGTGGGGTGGGGCGGGACAGGTCAGAGGCATAGGCGGCGGAACGGGGAGGGCACCGGAGCACCGTGCCCCCTTTGATTTTGGCAATTTAAAATTAGCCCTATGGGCGTTACATGGAAAGAATGGGACAAAAAGTTGGCAGTGTCCACCTTAATTGAAGGTGTTCCGCCGCTACTGGTCAGAGAAAAGTAGTTTTGGTGTCTTCGTAACATGTCACAAAGCTGTCAGAGGCGTTTGACACCTACTATGTACGATTACCCGTCACGACCCCTACTGGTTGACCTGAACTGACCTGACCCGACCTGGTCTAAATGCTTAAAGACATCTGTGATCAAACCTAACACGATATTCGTGATCAACACCCCGAAAAAAACATAGCAGCCACACTTCACGACTTTCTAACAGGTCCCGATTTTCCCGACTTTTGGGTCATTAACCTGACCTGGAAGGTCATCTGATGACCTAGGGGCTAGGACCTTAAAATTGGGTATCATCACTTCCTCTCGTGACGAGCAACACGCTCGTTTTTTCCACGAAGCTCTACCTCGATCAGGGGCCAAACGCGAAGGGGGTCGTACCCCCCCCCCCCTTGTGCCGTCGCAGGATGCAAAATGGCCTGTGCCGGCGAGGGTTAAGCTGGAAAGAAATGCCTTTACGTCTGTCGCGGAACAGTGGCGACGGGCCGGAAAACCCCGTTGTGGCTCGTTTGAACCAACACGAAGAAAACTACGCATAATCGGCAACCATAAGCTGGAGCTGACGTCAGTTGTGAAGGGCAAAACGCGGGGCGGCCACTTTGCCCCGGGTGTCCACCTGGTCCTGGTCTCCCCTACAGGTCAGATCAGAGGGATTGGGCGGGATAATTTAATAAGATGCTGTGGGACAGGTCAGTGGGGCGAGGAGGGACAGGTCAGTCGTTTCTTCAAGGGACGCCTCGATTTGTGATAAATAACTTTGCACAAAACGAGCGTCGCGCCGTGATTTTGGCATCATCGTGTTCGCCTTGCTCAGGCACGTCGAATGGTATAGGTACTTTTTGGTCGGGTAAGGCCAACTTAAGGTGTTGACCTCGGGTCAAGGTCAGGTCACAGACCCCAGGCCACAAAATTGGTCGGAGGAGGTCATATTTCATATCATTCGATTCAGCAGGTCTTCCTGAGTCCATTGGTGGCTTTCCCGACTCGGTAGCTCAATTTGATCGGGAGTTATTGACGAA